CAAATGAACACTTTTTTATTTTGTTCGAACTAATAGTCATGGAAATAAAAATCCTAGTAAGTTAATTTCGTGTTCCGTTACATGTGTGAGCCACTGTAAATTACTTGACTCGAATTACCTGACTCGAGTCAACTCATATTTTGACTCGTATTCTGACTCGAGTACTCTTCGAGTCAGAAAAATTATGACTCGACGTGACTCGAGTCAAAACGAGTTGATTCGAGTCCAATCGCTAGTAATCGGCTACCCTTACGCTTATACATATCAAGAAAAAATGGCACATATCGATAGCCAGCATTTGTATTCTCGGTCGCCAACCAATAGGAATGTACAAACAATTAGCTGGCAAAACAAGCAAATGAAAATTGTGAAAATTCGAGGAGCTAATGCTCAAATTTAGCTTGGTCCACTAATAAAAAATGTTGGGCAGGAAATTTTATATATAACTTTGTTCTCCACTCTAACCCTAACCCTAATCACCAATCTTAAAATCAAATTTAGTGTTAGAATATAGTATTTTCAGAATTGGAGGTAGTTCGGGAGCCGATTTATTTTTTATTTGTAAAATTTTATGACAATTAATATAGCGTAATATAAATAGTATATGCAGTTTCATGCTTTTATGTGTTGGAATTTTGAATTACAATTTTTAGCATTTCGGGATTTTGAAAAATCGGGATGTTAGTGTTCGGGATGCTGAGCATTCGGAATGTTGGCTTTTGGGATGTTGGCTTTTGGGATGTTAGATACTCGGGGTGTTATCTTTTCGGGAAGTTGTGTTTTCGGGAAGTTGGCTTTTCGGGATGTTGGATTTTCGGGATATTGGTGTTTCGGGATGTTGGATTTCGGGATTTCGTTTGTCGGGCATATGGAATATCGGGATTGTGTTCCTCGGGAAGTTAGACGACACCCATTTGTTTGATATATACGAGGACGGGTTGAGAGTTAATATTTAGTTTATTATCATTTGAAATCTGTTCTGCGACCAATGTTGCTAACAACAAGTGTCTGACTGTACTTTTTCGTATATTAACTATATGGGAAAAAAATAAAAGTATTATATTCAAATTTATCTTACTACCTTATATATCTTCTATTTGCCTTACACTTTTTTGATTTATTTTATATTCATACAAAAATGCATCACTTTAATGCAAGACAAATACAAGACAATGAATATATGCATTTTTGTATAAATAAAAAGTGTAGGGCAAATATAGACAAATATCGGTCATTCTTTTTAGAGCTGATGAGATTTTCTGAGATTCTTTTGAGGCAATTGAATTATAGAAAATCACTAAAGTGTGAAATTCTTTTCCAGTCATGATTTTTATTATAAAATCGGTAGTGAGATATGTCATCCATTATGAAATTAAGAGTTAAATCTATTCTAAGATCCTGCTTCTTGAAAAAAAAAACTATTTTCGTCGATAAAATCATTCAGATATTTTGGCGAAGGTATCGTTTAAGTGAAAATTTTCCTATGAATTAACCAATATCTTAATTGAAAGTAATGCCGCATTTTGGAAACTTAATTCAGTTAGTCATTCATTTCGAGAACATAATTTAAATCCTAAATAACTTGTTTAAAAAAAATGTTAAAAAGAGAAGAAATAATTATATCAGTAAACTTGCGCTAGGAGACCGAACTAAATAGTTCATTTGGTTCACTTCAGTTTAATTCGGTCCAAACTTTTAAAGTTTCAGATAAATCATAGATAATATTAAAACAAACGAATTAATCAATTTATTGTTTTGATTTTATTCTATAGTGTGTTTTTTTTTTTTGATAATTACGACTAAGGTAATTTAAATAAAGCGTCGTATGTGCATAAATCTAAAGTCATCAAACATTTGTATTTTATAAAACGGATAAACTTCTTTACTAAGAAGTAAATACAAAATTTAATCCGTGAATATGATAGAAAAGGCCTTTTCTGAGCATATTCACGGATTAAATTTTATATTTACTTCTTAGTAAAGAAGTTTATCCATTTTATAAAATACAAACGTTTGATGACTTTAGATTTTATGCACCATATTAACATTTTTGTTAAATGACCGAGTACGTAGTTTGTAACATTTGCCATGTTTTTCACAAGTGAAAATCATTCTTAAATTTTAATCGATTTCCAAATCTCAAACATTAACGTTAATCATTGATTTCCTAGTCGATTCTAGAGAATCGATTACTGTCCTTACTGCTAAGATACAGGAACGCTTAAATCGACAATATGGTTCATGTTAAAAATTTAATTTATTGGAATATACGTCTCTTCTTTTAATACACCAAATGCATAAAAAAAGTTTAACACAAGATTAATAAATGGCTCTATATATATAGTAGTATTCATTACGACAACGATAGTATGGTCATTCTTTGTGCATAATAAGCATATCGATATCGATGAAAATAAGCTGCAAATTTGATCGGTTCTCGGCATAGAAGTTTTCTATCCGACAACAAATATCTTGTATAAAAGCCTTACTTCTTTCTATACGCTTATTTACGTTTTATTTATACTTCGCAATGTCTCTGAAATGAATATTTAAAAAAATAAAGAAACCTAAAGATGCTACCACTACCGATACTGACACTGTGCTTGATGGAGACTCCATAATTTCTAATTTGTCATCATCCACAACAAAACTCAACAGTATTCCCCCATAATTTATAGACGATCTGAATGAAAAGAGTCTCAACGATGAACGTTGCAAAAGTTACGCTGCAGAGGCAGGCAACAAACGTTTTTTGAGAGAACCCAACACCGTATCTCTACGCGAAAAAAAGATATCGAACGTCCTCACTACTATCAAACAGTCAATGTGTGTCGATTTTTGCTTCCTTCTAGACTGCACTGAATCTATGACGTCACATATTGACGCTGCTAAAGATTGTATCCTACAAGTGGTAGACTACGTGGAACGTACGAACCCAGGAATCAAAATTTGGTTTGGATTCTGTGGCTACCGTGATCACTGCGATTATCGTCGCCTGCAGTTTTACTACTTTACCAACTCTTATCAGAAATTCAGAAACTACATATCCTCCAAGGTAGTAGCTGACGGTGGTGGTGATGAACCGGAAGACGTCCTAGGCGGACTTAACCCAAATGAACTGGAAGTATAACACTCGTATCATTTTCCATATCGGTGATGCACCACCGCACGGTTCTCGTTTTCACAGTAGTCGAATGAAAGACCATTATCCGGATGGCGACCCACATGGACTAACTGCCGAAAGCGTGCTGGCCAGGATGTAATCAACGAAAATCCTCTACTTTTTTTGGAAAGATTACGAATAATACCGAAGAGATGCTCTGCGTATTCCGAGGAATAATTGGCGAGTTCCCAGTATATGATCTCAGTAATACAGATGGAACATTAATTGCCAAATTAATTCAAGCTACTTGTTCGGCCATCACCACTTCTGTTGCGCAGACTAGCATTCTGGATAAAGGCGCTGAAGGTGCATACTTATTGCGGCGAAAAGAGCGTGAATTAAACAAAAACGAACCTGATTGGCATGAACACTCCATTCAAACTGGGACAATTGCGTGGTTTCGCCCTCCTGAATCCTTAGCCAATATCAAAGAGAGAAAATGCTTCAAAAACTCAAACCTCTCCTTCGAAAAAATCTCTTTCAAGGTTGCCCCACAACCATTTGCCATTGGTGCTGAACGATACGCATATTTTGCTCTTGATGTCACAGATACATTGACCAATAAAATAGTGATAAAAGAATACATCCATCCTGGAGTAAAAGCGAATTATATTGAACAATATCTTGAAGCAGTAGAGGTCGCCACTATTACGCATTTCCTTTCCACTCAATTTAATTTAGTTGCCACGCGGGTTGGTGTCAACAGGAAGGTGAAATTTCTCAAAGTGAATCTCTTACACCACAATACCAATGGATCGGATATGCAATATAATACAGTAGAATCAAGTTTAGATAAAACGAAGTTTAAACGGTTCAATGTAAATAGTGGCGTAATTACCGAGTTCCATTCTACCCTCGAGGCATTTGCTCATTTTACATATGAATACACCGAAGGATATTTAGTGATTTATGATTTACAAGGGGTTGAATGTCCCGATTATTTCTTGTTAACAGATCCAGCAATACATTGTACTGATACTCTAAGGTTTGGAAAGACGAATCTCGGAAAAAGGGGAATTGAGAAGTGTTTCTTGGCAAATCATAAATGTAACACTGTTTGTCAAAAGTTGGGACTAATCAAATTATGATAGATACAAATAATTTTGTTTATACATAGTGGCGCCAGATAAACTTTAAATTTATGAATTTATGTTACATCCAATAATTGTTTTGTAATTAGGATAGAAATTTGAAAACATAAATACATGCATTATAATTATTGATTGCACATTTGGCCGAGTGCTGTTAAAAACAATTTTGATGTTATGTACCATAAAAAATTTCTCCATCAAAATTGCTTTTATGGTGCATAGCATCTAAATTCATCAATAGATTAAATTTTATAAAATGTATAAATTTCTTTAATTAAATACAAAATTTAATCCGTGAATATGTAGAATAGGCCCTTTCTGAGCATATTTACGGATTAAATTTTGTTAGTAAAGAAGTTTATACATTTTATAAAATACAAATTTTTGATGATTTTAGATGCTATGCACCATATATAATATAGATGCATACCGATACTGACTTTCAATTAGCTTTTTATCGTTATAGTTCTCTGGGCATTACTCTTATAAATGTTTGTGTCAATCTGGCAGTATTCTGAACTTCTGAGAGATTCAGATCTTATATCATTGATCATATGAACTAATGCATTACTTTTTTAAGAAAAACTAATAGTGACAATTTTGAATCCATGTTAATAATTGTCTTCCAAAAAAACTAATATAAATTTTGTATTTGTTTATTATGTGAATGCTCGAGCAAACAGTTGTCCGGTGACTTTGTCCCGCTGAGTGTAAATGCAAGCGAAATGTGGTGTTATATTTGAATTATACAGGATCAGAATGAAACATTATTTTATATAAAGCAAATGAATAATTCTTCAACTCTTTAATAGTGTGTTGATCAGGATCGTTGAATCTGACTATCAAATTTTAAATTTTGTATCTTGTTACTTCCGATGCATGTATGCTCATCAAATGTGTCCCAAAATGGGAATAATTTATATCTATCGTGTAGTATGTCACGTGATAAGTGATTACCACAATTAAAAGTTGATTTTAGTGTTAACGTTGGGGCTAGGGAGAGAGAAGCTTATATGTAAAATTGCTCACCGAAATTTTTCATTAATGCTCCAAGGTAGAAACGTATTTTTTGCTTGTGCTTGTGTTTCGGATTTGGTTTTCCGGGCTGATTAAAAATTTACGCATTCTATTTATATTGATTTGAGTCTCGGGCAGATCACTGGACGTATGGTGCATAAAATCTAGTCATCAAACGTTTGTATCTTATAAAATGGATAAACTTCTTTACTAAGAAGTAAATACAAATTTAATCCGTGAATATGCTCAGAAAAGGCCTATTCTATCATATTCACGGATTAAATTTTATATTTACTTTTTAGTAAAGTTTATATTTTTTAAAATACAAACGTTTGATGACTTTAGATTTATGCACCATAATCGAAATAATTAATTGATTTTGAAATCGATTCCTACATAGCGGGCGAGAATGGCCAAATCTCAGGTATTTATATAATCTCACGTGCATGTGTTAAATGAAATCTCAGGAGGGGGAGGGGTCCCTATAATAAAATGGATATTAGCTTACGCTAATATTTGTCACTCCCCTTATTTCTCCATTACGTAATAATTTATTGATGATTTTTTTATCTGCAGGGCACGACTATGTGACTTATGTTTCTATAATATTGCCGGTTAAATTTTGGATTTAGTTAAGAAGTTGAAAGAATTTAACATAGAACATATTGTCGATTTAAGAGTTTCTGTACCATACAAAATCGATTTCTGTTATTCTATGGAACTGTTACCGAAGTAACATTAAATCCTTTGATTCCATAAATTTGGCCCTTAATTTCCACATGAATATCTTTCCATAATTAGTCTCATTAGTCTCTTGTGTAATCCAAGTTTAGAAATACGTACGTATTTCGTTATTACCATTAATGTACGTAACGATAGTAATTATCAAGAGGACGACAATGCAATGATCTGGACAATTGAAAGACGTCGAACGATTATTGTCTTGTTGTTCTAAGAGAAACCATCAATGTAGAATACTAACCTTAGAATTAGCGTAGTGATTCAAAATTGTATATAGCAGCGTTCTTGAGTCTCTGGGAAGACGTGCTTTGATCTAATAAAATAACAAAGTTCTTATTCGTAATAGTAATCCTACTTGTGAATACACTATTATTTTATTTTCCTTGATCAAACCTTGTGAGTAATTGCAAGTAGTGGATGCGCCTCCACTCTAAATAAGCCGTCGAATTCTTTTGAGTAGATTATTTTGATTTGATTTTGTTTTTCTCGAACGGGCCGTATCAATAAGTCCTGTTGAATTGATTTTGTTTCTTGAACAGGCCGTATCAATAAGTCCTGTTGGATTGCTTTTATTTTTGTACCAATAAGTCCTGTCACGTTTGTGAATACATTGATCATTATTAAATAAACAAGGTTTGATTCTTGTTACAAGAGTGATTCTATTCTATTTCCTTTTTAAACAACCCCCACCCATCGTTGAGAAAAGGTCGATTTGCGTACAAGTCGCCACGGGAAGCCTTTAGAACACCCGAAGAAACCCTTTGACTGTTAACGGTAAATAATTTAGTCTAGCTCATCATGATAATCCTCTAATTCGGGTAATGCCAAACTCGACACAACAGTACTTTTAGACTTTTACCACCATTATGAAATCAATTATCGCTTGCACAATTATATAATAATTATTAAGCTAATAGAAATGGAAAGGGAGAATTATAGGGCATACAAAGATAGGGAAACCGGTATCGGTATAGCTTAATCTAATCTTTGTGTTTGTTATTAGCGTTAGCGTTAGAGAAAGAGTAATCTGGTATTTCTAGTTCACGCAATGAATCTGGAAAGGAATTAACTGAAACTAAACGCCATGATATCTGAAAATACGTATCTGATCCAAATTATTTTCGTTTAGTTATGTCCAAGACGAATATATAAAAGAATACAGTACTAGCCTAAACGAACCATTTGAGCCTTGCATATCATGAAATTTCAAGTATTGGACAAAGTTATAAAAACACAATTCAAAGTAATTCTCATTGCGATTCAATATAAATGATGATATATTTATACTCTAATCAAAACACATTTAATAAATAATATAAATAGAAATTTCATTTAATCTTAAATAGGAGCAAACGTCCCTCCATTGTGAACATCAAGCCATTCAAGAGCTCCCGCCCACGTTTGTCTTCCAAACAACCGATACTAAAAATATAAAAATTTCATTAGAAATATTTTACACGATAGATACACACACATTACATAAAAACAACTATACCTGAATAGCGCTTGGCACACCAAACAAAACATTTTTCCAGGCCTTATATCCGAAATGCCAAAAAACTTTTGTTGGGGAGGGTAAACATCCGATATCTTTTGCCAGAAAATCAAGATACGGTGTGATTGGTGTTAGGATTAAAGGATGTTTTGGGCTTTCTAGACGTGGACAGTCGGTCTGTGAAGATAATGCTTTATCCATTTCTTCGGGTGATGGTAAAGGTTTTACTTCGCCTATGATTAGTCCTGTTACATATCGTGCTTGCATCTCGCTTTTAAATTTTAAATAATATAGTCATTATTATTTGATTCATCTTTTTTCTCGGATCAACAATTTACATTACCTTACTGGCAAGACTGCACCCGTAGAAAACACAAACCCTATGAACGCAATATTCTGATACCGAGGCGGAAAAACCATTTTATATAACCACGCCGCATGCCAATTCTTACTATCCGGTCCTTGGTCATCTACGAAATCTTTACCACCATTGAAAATTTCTGTCCAATTCTCCAAAAACGAAAACTCCATCGAATACCCGGTCGCATAAATCACTGCATCAATGTCCTCCAAAGTAGTGCCATCTATCAATTCTATTTCGCGATTTGGTTTCAATTCACGGATGTTTTTTTTCGGGATGATTGTGCCGGTATCGAGTCGTTCCCGAAATTCAGAGCACACAGAGATTATTGATTTATGTAATGGGATTTTTGGTTTAATTTCGGGTGGGGGTGAACCGGATAGTTTATTTAACAGGCCTTCGAACATAATGTTTTTTATTTTGGTCGGAATGTATGAGCTGATACGTGTCATGCTGTGATCAAGTGGTAGACCATGTAAAAGTCGACGAGGTACAACCCATGGAATGCGCCCTATAGTAAGTTTATTGAATTAATATTTGACCTTACATTTTGCAATAATCATATTTTCAAACATACCATCTCTTGCACATAAATACACTTGTGATGCGAAATGTGACAATTCACTGGCTATTTCTATTCCACTTTAAAAAAAGTAAAAATCAACCAACATGCATAAATACAAATCAGAAAATATAATCTAATTTCGAAATTACCTATTTCCAGTACCCACAACTACAATACGCTTATCCTCAAACTGTTTCGGACTGTGAGAAATCGTCGTCAAAATAGAAAAGTTAAAATAAGTTCTCGTATAAATAGAAAATGAATAATATAATTGTTCTTACTCTCGATAAATATGTGAATGTATCTGTTTCCCGCCAAAAGTATCTCTTCCTTGATAATTAGGAATCCAACTAGCACGCTCTTTGCCAGAGCATACGATCACATAATCGAATTCTTCTTCATTTATATCGGTATCTGTAGTCGTGATTGTTTCATTTGATTGGTATTTGACTTTCCAGCGATTATCAGATAATTGAGAGACTTTGATGACTTTGGTGTTTAACTTGATGTATGAGTAAAGATCAAAGTTTTCGGCGTACGATTCCAAGTATCTATTGTATAATAAATCATTATTAGGTTGAAAAAATGAGAGCAAAAATAATTTTGAAATCATATTTTACTGTTGTAGAAGTTTATGCGGCAAATAAGTCGGCCAATTTGTTGGAATTGGGAAATCAGAGAAACATGTCTGATAATATGAAATTATGGTTTAAATGAATTGATCAATATCAATTTTAATATTGATTATAAATCCTGAATTACCGCCTCTTTGCTCGTATTCATAATTGCCGATCTATACATTGACGAGTGTGGATCAGGATTCTTTTCGTCAACTTCTACGTATCTCCATAGCCCACCAATAGCTGGATCCTGTTCAAAACACACCGGATCCAAGTTATCAGCGAGACATTGTTTGAGAGCCGCCAAACCAGATACTCCTATTGAATTGAATAAAATAATAATTAGATTTAAATTTTTACTAGTGTGTTAGCTATTAAAAATAAATCTCACCAGCTCCAATAATGGCAATACGTTGTTTCCTCTCGTTTTCTACACTTCCGTAAGTATTTACGTCAAAGCTGACGAATGGTTTAGCAGAATCCATTTCAATTATCAAACGAATAAGCTACGTACGAACATGTATTTGATAAATAAGTTATCACTATTTATTAACGTTAAAAAAAGATCAGATTGATTGTTTCAAAGAGGCTGAAAATGCATGTTGTGCCAGTTCAAAGTTTCCTTTTTTTGAATTTCTATGACATCGATATTAACACAAAAAATGACTTGTAAATGCGTCAGAACTAAATATAGACGTAAAATTACTGCCTTATCGGTATCGTTACGTATTTTTTCTTGCTATAAAATATTAACGTTAACGTTAAATATTCAAAGTACTAACTCGGTATGTAACGAAAACGAAACTAATTAAATCTCGCTATGGCGACTGAGGTCCAGAAAATCAAATTTATTGGCAAAGTCGTTATTTTGAAACCGTCCGCTACATCCAAATTCATAATGTATTTAACTTTAAACCAATAAAAGGGGACGAGAAGTTATCAAGATGAGGAAAACAACAAAAAATATAAATTTCAAAAAAAGGAAACAATAAGATTTCACTTTAAATCACATCTTAAAGTTTCTATAAATATGGAACCCAACAACAAAGTATTTCTCTCATGATCAACAGCAGGAATGGTGATTGAATGAAAGAGTTCGCCATCGGCTTCCAAAACATTGGTCACTTTGTACTTTTTGCCAAAGTATTGATCTGGATCAGTGTTATTCGAGATTTTCAGTACTATGCTTGGTGGTTTTGGACTTTTTCCACTTGGATCCTCAAAATATACAAAATTGCGCAAAACTTTTGGGAATCCTTTTTCAATGTCAATTCACAAGCATTAGTTTTAATGTAAAGAGATTTTAACTTGTTTAACAGAATTTCAACTTTACCAGCGATATAAATTTCTCCAGTCAATTCATCAATTGATATATTGTCTAATGGATAACCTAATCGTATTCTTTCTGATTCGATTAGTCGATTATCTTGTCGCCGTTCATATACGATCACTTCACCACGAGCTGCAGAGCTAACGTAAATTAATGATTTATCCCAACTCGCCGAAATTCCATTCGCGGTTGCGATTCCATCCGCAGCGATACGAGTAATATTTGAAGCAGACGAATGAAAAACTACATTGCTCCATGGTCTTTGCGCAAATGCTAAATCAAATAAATTAACAACAGATAATATAGGACATATATATAACATGAAAAACCCACTACTGAAAGAAAAGCTTACCTTCAAAATGTCTGCTTATTCCTTTTTGTTTGTGTCGATGATCATTCGTCACAAAAAATTCATTTGCGGAAACTGGGACAACATCATTTGGCGTATGTATTAATTCGTGCTTGACAGTTTCTAAGTGTAGGAGCTCTTCAGTGCCTATTGTATGTTCGAATATTTCAATCACACTTCCGGTCCGGCGATGATTCACAAAAAAAAGCGATACTTTCGTATGATTCGTTGAGTCACCGTAAATGCCTAATCCATGAAAGCTTAAATCCGTATTTTCAGGAAGGTTTTTAATTTTCAAAACTGAAGCTTTGTTCGTCTATTATATAGACGTATTTAACAAATAAAAATTTATTACGAGCGATTTCAAAAAACAATATCATCAAAAATAATACTGATACATTAATATTGTAAGCCCAGGCTACATCACGTGGCTCAAAACTCATATTAGTATAAACGGCAAGTGGAGGCCAATATTGCGTTGATCTAGCGGTTGCGAAACCACACGCCATAAAAGCGTATCCACTCGGGTGATGAATAACAATATCTTCGCACGCCTCTGGACCTTCAAGGAAATCAATTTTAATATGAATCTCTCATTATCGTTATTGTTTGAAATGAATGTAAATTTCCCAACCTAAAATAATACGACAGTTTCCACTTCCATCGTACGGAGCTGCATCATCACGAAAATATCCTATTAATTCGAGATAATATTTTATATCATTGTAGTAATATGCGAAAAGTGCAGTGATCACTGCAAGAATCACAGTAATAGTCGTGGATGACATTTTTATCATTATTGTTATCGCCACCGACAAGAGAATTCTTTTATATTATCCAAAAATGTTTAATACAAACGATTATCATGGCTATTTGTGTTGACTATCGTTATCGCTATATCGATATGCAAAAAAAGTGTCTGTCACGTGATCTGAAATAGATCCATTAAAATATCCGATTAATATTAGATATCAAGTATTATGATTAGGGTTAGAGCTGAAATCAAGGTTATATATAAATTGTCTTCTCGACATTATTTGATAGTGTGCCAAGCTAGATTTAGATATCTGTTTTTTGTATTTTTCGCATTTTTCGTCTTTTCTTATTTTCTTGTGCGGATTTGTTTTGCCGGGTTGATCAAAATTTGCTACATTCCTATTGTTTGCATAATTTTTGCGCATTCTTATTGGTTGGATCTGACCAACATCACGTGAATGGAACTTTTTTTGCCATGGCTAGGGTATTATCTACATCGATATTGATGATTAGCGTTAGTTCGTTAAAAAATAAATAACTTAACGAATTGGACCCTTTCTGTAGAGTTTTGTGAGTATCCTTAATGGCGCCATCATCTCTTGTTAGAGTTGTTAATGGAGTGGAGTGGGTTCATATTATAGTGGAGCAAGGGGTCAATCAAATTAAACCCATTCCAGGTTTATTGTTACGGGTTTTGCTCCATACTGCTCCAGCTACTCCGGAGTATTTATAAAAGTCATATGTAGTGAATTTGATTGGATAAAAGTTATATATAAAATACTTTTATTAATAAACAAGTTTCGTATTTCAAAAATAAAAAAGTTAAAAAAATTTATAATTCCGATAAAAAATAAATTTACGATTCTAAAAAAACATGCTTCATACTCGTATTTCAAAAATAAGAAAGATTAAAAAAAATTACAATTTATGATTCTAAAAAAATAGAAGTTTCAATATCGATTTCTTTTTATATCTTTGTCAAGTACTTGCTGAATCCAACTTTTTAAACACATTACTGCACGTTTTAAGTTACATTTAATTTTGGTTATTATATTTCTGTTATAGAAAATGCCTGTTCTGAGACTACACTTGAACCTTGTATACTTAAATAACGGGATGCTATATTTGCAAGAACCAAAAATCTCCCTTAAATGGCGTCACCAATCTAACGGATCTGAATCAGAATCATTTGGTGTTGCAATGTATCGAGTAATTTTAACTTCAGCAGATATTTCTTCAGTAGTTTGGCTTAGTGACGTGTCATTTTTATAAACTGTCATTAGCTTTTGCAATGATATTATAGTCTTATTACGTTGATTAGTATCCACAAAAGTCTTAGTTTTGAACACAGATCTAATAAAGTGTCAATTGTTGTTGAATCTTCTATATAGTTCCAATATTCTTTTAGTTTAAAATTAATTTGGTTTGCTATCATACAATCTTCTAAATCAACATGATCTCAAAGATTCCAAATGTGAAACAACCAATAATAGTTAATCTTACATTACTTATTAAAGGATATGTAAAAGATGATAATATTTTAGTTGCAATAAAAATTAGTTCAAGTAATTGAATCATATTATTAATTTTTGACCAATTATTTTCTTGTAAATAAATGCTAGTAAAATCCCAATTTTTAGCAACAAGAATATCTAGATACTTGCATAATAATTTGTTAAATACATGTAGTAATACATATGTTGTTGTCCGGGAAAGTGATAAATATCAAGCAAAAGTGACATAGCTTCCACTCTTCATTAACAAAGTGAATTGTTATACCAATATATCATTGCATAGTAATTAAAGTCCAAATATTACATGCTATTAATACTTTTTAGTTGTTTCAAGCTCTTTTAATATTTTATCATGCATATTATTATAGCAATCCATTATTTTATTTTTATAGTTTGATAGCAAAACGCATGTACTTGATAATGTTCATCAAATACATTTAACATGATAGCAAAATAAGGATTGCAAAGAAGAAGCTGACAACAAACAATGAAATCTATAATTGTATTTATAAGTTGTTGGTATTGTTTGTCTGTTTTTTAAATATAGCTTTCTTTTATATTTATCTGTAGTATTATTGATTTTATCATTATATTTTGGTGCAAATGTTTGGCAAGTGTACCTGGGAAATTTGAAGGTTTGTAAAAAGCTTTGCAAATTGAGCAAACGAAGCTTGTAACTTCATTTTATCATTAAATTCCTTGAAAAAATATTCCTAAATTCAAGAAGTTTCATATGAAGTTATTGAAGCTGAAGTATGTTCTGTTACCGTAAAGCGCTCTGTATAGTATCCCCCTTTGTATAAAATTTAAACCTCAATTTAACCTCAAGACTGTTAAACCAATAACTAAATTTCTTAAAAAATCGCATAGTGAAATCTAATTTAATTATTTACATAAAAAATAATTGAATTTACTAAAAAAAAATTGAACCAAATTGTGGTTCAAATTTTTACAAGGGGGGATATTATAAAGAGCGCTTTACGGTAATGTCTCTTATATAGTACTCTCGGACTCATTCTCAGTAGGTTCATTATCCAATAAACCTTGTTCATTTAATGTAGATATTTTACGTTTATGAGACATTTTAATAAATAAATTTATATGAAAAAATTGCATGACTTTAAATCAATTAAACACATATTGATAGATAATTTGTTAATAAATTGCAAAAGCCGTATTGCATATAATCAACTAACTAAATTTATTGCATAATACTCGCTAACGAATTATATGATTTGTCAATATCTATTTTCAGACTGAGGAAACAATAATCATGAATTTATTTACCCACTTCCGCTTGGCCCTACAATTGTTGCCTTTTTCTCTTTTGTCATAACGAAACCAACACTAAGAATATCCAAATACTATATTTTTGAGTCTGTTTTCACTATCTTGGAGAATCAGTGATTTCGCGTCAGAAATATTCTAAATCACCAGAATCATTAATTAATTTGACTTAACAAAAAACGAATTCATTTTTTTGACTTTTAATCATAAAACTGTGGTTTGGGTTTATATAATTATGGCTCCAGAGCGGAGTGAAATTTAGAAATTATATAATAACCTGGAGCTAACCCGGAGTATGCTGCTCCATTTAACAACCCTATCTCTTGTATAATAATCACTGAGACTTTCCTGTACCCTTTCTCAGCCTTTATTTTTATTTTTCGAAAATGTAAGCTGTCAGGTAAAGCATTCCAAATAAATTATTCTGCGCTGCCGCTTCTTTGCTTAGAACGTAAATTAGAGTGAGATTTTCTTCTTCCAATCTATTCTCATATAGTAATAATATATATTAAATGGAAGAGGTTCGTATAAACATACTAAAATTCTTTATACATATTCTGGCTCCTGTGAAAGATATCCAACCATTTCTTGAAGGCGAAATTCCTTTTCCAGATTAGATACATTATCGTAAATCTGTGTATAGCGATAGAGATGGTGAATATTAACATAGAGCTATGGGTTATTTTCGTTTTTAAATTTTCTGTGCCGTTTTAATAAGGATAATTATGGCCACAAACCTAAACGGTTTTAAATTCTCAACCCGTTAATCGAATTTCAAACTGGTAACCGGGTTGCTGATTGAGAACGTTTAAAAACGAGTGGCTTAAAAAAAGAATTAGACGCGTCAAAGTTCAAGTTATTTTCGGAGGATATCAGTTTTAGATACTTTTATCGTTATGAGAAACATCACATATTGTCCTGGACAATATGTGATGTTTCTCATAACGATAAAAGTATCTAAAACTAGTGCTCCGATTTGAATCACTCAAATTGATTCAAATATCCAAATTTAAAAAAGTGATTCGGAATATTTATAAGATTCGAATCAACCATTTATCCGAATTAATTTGATTTGAATCGATTTGACTTTAATTGCTAATTCGAATTAAATTAATAACAATGGCCCGCATAAAAGTTTAACATATTCACCAGTAAAGTCCCCCCGGAAAGTAATGGTCGGAAAAATTTTACCATATACGTAATTAGAAAACGATCTTCTATGAGTCTATCCCGAAATGTGTCACCATCTTTTTAAAGCCCTAACGCTAATACATATCCCGATTTGGACAGAATTTTAATGATTGTGACTAATGATACTGTCGATATCGACCCAGAAATAAACGTAAAGATTTGATCAGCTCGACAAACAAATCCGACACAAGAAAATAACAAAGCAAACATACGTGAAGCAGATGCTTGATACACTAATAAAAAATGTCGGTGAGACAATTTTACCTATAATCTTTTCTCCAGTTCTAACTCTAAATTACATTAATTAACAATATAATTTTCCGAGATCGATAAAACCTGCCTGGTATATAGCATAATGTTTACTAAACTTTCGTTATACATGTATTTATTTAAACAAAAAATTCCTTATTTTCATTCATATATGTAGTAAGTGTGCCATCGCAATAATCGATGCATGCAAGTATCATTGTTCTGATAAGGAAGCTGGAATTTCAAACATTATGTTTTTTGCATCATAACAAAACAGTTAAATCTATTTACCCATCAACAATGAATAATAAATGCAACTCAAATTTGTCTGTCGAAAAAAAATTAGATGAAAGTTAGGAGCAAAAGTAGTTCTGTCGATGAAATTTAACTGCAAAAGTTTCTTTTTTTTGTTAATTGAAAAACATACAAGTCTTGGTTTCTTAGTTTGGAATAATATATTCTTTATATCGTTATATGTTATGTATGTTTTGCCTCTTTTCGATTTTAAATCATAACTAGTGCCTATGTATGCTATGATTGTGTTTTGCATAATGAATAAAATCCTCTGTAATGCGGATTGTATATACATATATAGCCTAAAGCATACTAGTTATTAAATACTGGTTAGAATGAACTTCGCAAAATTTTTATAATGCAGATTAGACATCTAATTGATATGGCATTAGTTGCGCCTACTACCATAGGCATAGAATAACAAAGGTTACGCCCCAATTACGGCTTATCGGTCTATTATTTTTGTACCCCTAATCAAGAGAATACTAATAGACATAGCTAAATTTAGCGCGATTTCAATCTAATGATTTGGGAACAAGAGTTGCTAACTCGCGATTTCAGTAAATTGCATAGTCGTTAAATTGAGCTTTGACATTATTTTTAGTTTTAATATTGTATATACTTGCGAATTCTAGAAGTTCATGTGAAATTTCAAGTAATATTTCTAGTTTTTAGTATTGTAATTAAAATTACGCACTTGTGATCTTTAAAAAAAAAATTTAGCATTGATTTTGGAATTAAAACTGCTTTTCGATTTGAAACCGGAACCGAACAAACTACGGTTAGAAAACACTCAAGAACCAGAATCGCTTCTAGAACCAAATCGAATTTTCGAGTCTGCATCGGATTTACTCAAAAATCGAACCGAACCGTTCGGAACCTTATAAACATGTTCATACGAAGATGGATTTATGTTTATTACGCTAGCTAGTAAATTGAACTTCAATCTCAGTTTTAACTATCGTCATTTAATTAGGAAATCAGAATCTATGCTCACAATTAAAAACACAGAATCGGATCCAGTAATAAACTTTTTTTCCGATGGTATCATTCATGTAATATTACACGTATTTCATAAATTCAACTCACCTGTCGACTACGTAACCATCTCAACATCTAAATATTTAATTTACAGCACATGTATATGTAGTAAGTTGATGCAAAAAACGTGCACAAAAGTCAGCAGCATAAACTTTAAAATTTTGCGTGAGAACAATTTATTGGAACAATATACGTACGTACAGATCGATATAGCAGGTCGAAACAAAGACGTATTATACTATCGTGCATGCATTATCTGGATTTTAAAATAGAATTGCTTTGACGAACTTTCCATCTATCGCTATGTTCATTTATCTCCTTCTAAAAAAGTATCCTTTATTTTATTACGAGAAAATATGTTAAATTGACAAAACACATAATAACTACGTATTTTTTTGTGTCATACAGTGTCATCAAAAGAACCTACCAAGAGAAAAGAGAAAGAATTCTTTTAACTTATCAACTAAACAATCAAGCATAACGATAATAAACAATCAAGCATGATAACAAACATTAAAAATCTTGCTTTCATTTGGCTCAATAAAAACACAATAAACAGATTATTCAATGAACTGAGCTTAACGTTAAGGGAGGTTTGATGCACTGAAAACCTATCTTAAGTAATCATCAAATCATAAAAAGACGCAGAATTAATTACTAAACGCTAAGAGAATTTGATCGCTAACGAACACAAATTAAATTAGAAATCCTCTTTAGTATTAACGTTAGTAGAAACTCAGAAACCATAATCAAAAATTCACAAATTGCGTATTTATTGTTTCGTCCCACAACACGACACAAAGAAAATACTAAGTCGATTGCCAAGTAATCAATAACGATAACGATAATGCTTTTCTATAGAGACAAATGTGATCATTATTTCCGAAAAGAAAATACATATTCACATTGAAAATCCCATAAAAGGTAGAACAAAAAGTGTATATTGAAAGACATATCTACAAGTTTCAAGTTCGTATAACGATAGTTGCTTTGCATTAACATTAGCATTTCAGATGTTCTTCGTTGCGCTTCGATACGGTAGAAACTTCCTGGAAAAAATACAAAAAACGGGCTTTTCGGTAATCTATTTCCAAAACGTGCACAAACAATAACGATAAAGATAGCGATAGCAATAGGAGAATGCGCACAGAAAAGGAAGTAATCTGCATCATCGTTATGGTTATTCTAAAAAGCATTAATATTAGTATTAGCATTTGTGCGCGCGTGTTAAATCTGCGTTTTTTTATAAAATTTGATACATATTTCAGTCTTTCTTTTTTATGCAATAGATCAAATTAATTGAAGGAAATAAAAAAAAGATTCTTTACCTAACCGCCAAAGTAATCAATAAAAAATGTCGATAGATCGAGATGACGATGAAAAATCAATAAGAAACGTGTCGGTTCCAGCGTCAGTAATAGCGAATCACGAAGCCCGAGTCGAAATGCATGAAATAGAGGAACTAAATAGACTGCGTCAAGTGAGTCTTAAGAGATTAGATTCTGCAAAATTTGGCTGGTTTCAAGTACGAGCATGTTTTGTGTCTGGTAAGAATCTTTATTCGAATGAGAAACAATAATAGACAAGAAAATAAATTTTTGATTTTAATTTCAATCTGAAGGTGCCGGATTCTTTACGGATGCCTACGATTTATTTGCCATTAACTTGGTAGCAGAGATGTTGGGATATGTATACGAAAAGGATGGCATTCTGCCAGATAATATAGAGATTGGGTTAAAAATTTCCGCGGCAATTGGAACATTTGTTGGGCAGCTTGTTTTCGGAATACTTGCAGATATTGTTGGACGAAAAAAGGTAAATATCAATGCTTTGATTAAATTGTTTATGTATTTCTTATATTAACATTAATTTATATAGATGTATGGTGTTGAATTATGGCTAATAATATTTGCCACTCTTTGCACGTCTTTAAGTGGTGGAGGACCATACTTAAATATCTATGGTATGATCATATTTTGGCGGGTTATAGTTGGTCTTGGTGTAGGAGGAGATTATCCATTATCTGCCAGTAAGTATAAATGGATCTTTCAAAAAACACACTAAAAATGCGTAGTAAATACTAAAAAAATTACACTACACAAAGTCATCACTAGTGAATTCGCAGCAACAAAATATCGAGGGGCAATGATGGCAACCGTATTTGCAATGCAAGGTTTTGGAATTCTTGCTTCAATTATCGTCGCAGTGATAACACTTGCAGCGGCAAAAAATGACATATATGAACATAAAAATATCGACGGTATAGATTATGTTTGGCGAATAGTATTAGGATTGGGTACGGTACCTGGAATCATCGCACTCTATTTTCGTCTCACCATTCCAGAAACCCCACGATACAGAATGGAAGTTGAACAAGACATTAGAGAAGCTGAAAATGACATCAATGATGTTTTAGAACACGGTCGATACACTCGTGGTCCAAGAAATGAGGTAATAAGACGTACAGAACTGCCACCTAACTGGTGGAAAGATTTAAGACTATATCTCTCGGTTCGGAAGAATGCAATGATCCTATTAGGCACTTGTGGCGCGTGGTTTTGTATCGATGTGGCGTATTATGGAATTGGATTAAACAACAAGATCTTTATTCAGAGAGCGCTAAAGTACAAAAGTTTACCAGGCTTTGAGAAAATTCGTGAATCTGATGCTTGGACTCCATTGTTTCATGACGCGGTTGGAAATTTAGTCATTACGTGTTTGGGTACAATACCTGGATACTGGTGCTCGGTGCTTTTTATTGATAGATGGGGTCGAAAGCCGATCCAGTTTATGGGATTTGCAGCGCTAACTGTTATTTTTATTGTATTTGGAGCGACTTTTCATAAAATAAAAGATACATCGATTTTCTTATTTGGTGCAATTTTTATTCTTGCACAGGTAATTTATTTTTCTGTTCAAGTCTTTTCAATTTTGTTGAATTTTTCGCTTAGAGTGAGTTCTTTTTATTTTTTTTATTGTCAATAGTTCTTTTCTAACTTTGGGCCGAATACAACTACTTTTGTGGTTCCCGGCGAAGTTTTTCCAACAAGGTAAAATTTGAATTCACAAATCTTTCCCAATCTCAAGCATTCAAACACAATCTGATCTTTATTTTTCTTCACAAAATAAGATATCGGTCAACGTGTTACGGAATATCTGCAGCAGTCGGGAAACTTGGCGCAATCCTTGCTCAAGTCGCCTTTCACAAAATGAAAAATATTGGCGGCAAGGAAAATGATGGCGCCGAATACACTGAAGAAGCAGAATTTGTTGATAAACTCTTATTTGGCTGTGCTGTATTCATGTTATTCGGATTTTTCTTCACTTTCTTAATACCTGAAACTAAACGAAGGACATTGGAGGAGCTTTCGAATGATAATACTAGTAATGTTCAAACTTAACGTTAATATAAGAAATTAATTTAGTTGGTTTTTTTAATGAGCTTTTCGATTTTTGGCCACTTTTTTTAATGTGATAGTTTTTTGTTTTATTCACTGTAAAATAAGATATCGATATAAATATTGTATTATAATAAACATTCTGCTTTTAATAGAAACACAAATTTCACGATAAATTTTTAAGGCAAGAATTATTGAAAATCAATTACGTACAGTCAAACCCTCCATAACGATAAATGCAAAATTTTGCTTGGGACCTAATAAATAAATGCAAAAAAAGAATCGGAAGCTGTTTCTCCAAAGAGCTTTTTGGTACTGCCATTGCAACAAAATAAGAGAACCATGTCCTGGTAAAAGAACAACATACTTATGTGGCAGCCATGTATTGCTGCTAATGTAATAAAGATGACATCTATAAACACTTTTGGTCTGGTTACAGAAGGTAACATTTGCTGGCAACTCATGCAAAATGTTGCGATATTCTCAATGACCATCAAAATGTGCTGCAAATGAAAGAACTATCATTTGGAGGAATTATAACCCTTTCCTCAAGTTTTTAACACAAAATGGGTGGGGTTTGCTGTAATGATAATGTTGCGTATAACAATAATTTCCGCATTTTTTGTTCGGCTGATCATATACATATTTAACGTTGGTTTCAAAGCAAATCGAATAATGGCGTGGAATTTTCTTAAGAAATCGGGTATGTTATTAAAAAAAGAAAATTCTTCTGCCCGCGCGTTAATTAACTTATCAACAAATTATAATACATGTACGTTATTCACAAAAATATAAATACGTACGTATTTATATTTTATAGGATCATTTTCAATATTAAAAAGGGATAAATCCTATTCATTACATTGCTATTGTATTTATCCTCACGATTGTCCAGAGTATAAAAGTCTAAATTCTGCATTAATAATTTGTTCCGAATGCAAAAAAAAAGGCAACTTGAATTTCAATGTCAGATAGATGTATGCCTCAATCTAAATTATTTTTATATTTATTATCTTTCCTTTTTAAATTATTTTTTTATATTTATTATCTTTCCTTTTTAAATTATAACACTTGGCGTGATGTGGATGTTTTATTGGGGTGTTTCATGGACTAAATAGATCAATAGTAAAACTATAAAGCTGATTAGTTTATAAGAAAGAGAAATCATTTTCAAAAAAAGTACCAAAATGTAGTATGTGGCGTGGTATTGTTGTATTGTTGTATAGTTTTTTTTTTTTTACAATTCAATAACAAAAAACAGATTTTTATAGAACAAATACATTAATATATATGCAATTTTTAAAAGATATCGTTTTCAAATAGTACTAAAATGTAGCATGAGAAGTGTAGTATTATTGTAGAGCTTTTTTACAATTTAAATAATAAAAAACTATACATATTAATTAATTATGCTGTATAACTACCCGAAACGTGATGGCACAGACCAATATTATAGAGCACTCACCAATGAAATCGCTGAAACCGTGAGTAATATCAGTACTATTAATGTATTTTTGAATAATACGGGCGCAAGTTTTTGAATCCACCAGGGCGACCCCCAAAAGTTCGTGCCACGTGATAATTTTTTGATGATGTCAGCGATGATGACCAATTAAATTGCAAGATCAGTGTGACGTCATCAAAAATTTATCACGTGGCTCGAACTTTTGAACTTTTGGTGGTCGCCCTGGCGGATTCCAAGTTTTTGATCAGCCCAGCAAAACAAATCCAGCTCAAGAAAATGAAAAAGTGTGAAAAATACGCCTAATCTAATTTGGTGTACTAATTAAAAACGTCGATGAGACAATTTATCTCAACCTTTAGCATTAATTAACCGGGTGCGAACAATTTTTCGAGGTGCTCTTGGAGTAGTATAGTGTTATCAACAGACCAAGTCTAGTGGTTATACTGGACCAATGGACTTTCCATTGGACTCAGTTAATTGGTAATAATAAATCATTGACCAAGATCCAGTGATTATACTGATTTATTGTTTATCGTTATCGTTATCCATTTATCAGATTTATCTGTTGATCAATTCCACACGCGATCAACTCTAGTTACACAATTTTCTTTTTTTAGTCTTTTTGTGTTGTTGTTTATCTGCGCGCGTGTGCCTATCTGCAGTTGCAGTATGTGTAATTGCCGTTACGGTGTTTTTTTTATTTTTATTTGAAATCATGTTAACCTTTTTTTCATTCATAATACATATCTCGCTATTATCTGATATATCGTTATCGTTACCACTCACGAAGCAAATATTCAATAGCGATATACATATAACATTGAAATAACACGTTTTTTTGTCATTTGGTGTAACTGTCAAATTATGGAGAACAATAAGGTAAAGAACAAGATCATCAATCTTTTTTTTTGTATAATAATAAAATCAAACTAACGCTAATACGTAATAAAGTCTCAGATCTACGATGTTTTTTTCGGCGACTGCATTCCTACAATAATACGACGACTAAAATGCTTTAAAAACTACCATATCAATATCAACAATATCAATCTAAGCATCTATGACAGTCTTATCCTGTGTCTCGCGGTCATCATTTCGATCTGGTGTATAAATCAAATCATTACATCATGTGCTAGAAGACGACGAAATAACCACCTTGTACACAACGTAAGCAACAGCCATTTTGGCATTCACAATAACAATTCCCAAATCAATATCACTCCGGATGAAGATGACGACGATATCGAATACATGCAAGATATACGGATATCGAGATTAACAATAGCGTCGTCGTCGCCGTCACAAGAAACTAATAATGGAGGAGACGTATGTGCACAAATCGACGACTTGGTTCGAATGTTTGAAGCACATTCAATACATGAAAATGATAATTCGAATCCGAATTATTATTATTATTATCATTATGGCAATAACTATGATCATAATGTGAATGATAATAATAATAGTAGTAGTAGTAGTATTAATTACAAATTCGGGAATGGTAACGTTGTTGGAGTTAAAGATGTTGAATTTACCGATTATATTCCAGAAATTTACAAATATGATATAGATGAAACGAGGACGCGGCCACGAGATGAAATTGATGAGGTTGTGGCGAATCTGATGAGCAAGTTAAAAACCTAAAGATTGTTGGGTTGTATTGGCGGTGATTCATTTTTATTGGAAATATTGGTGCTGGTATTATTGTGGATGATTAAATTCTTATTCTTATTATCATTCTATCGCGAACAATTAATTAATTAGACTAGAAAATAGACAAAAAAGATACTCTTCGTATTTATATTAGTCAAAAATTTCCTCGAATTCTCTGAATAATTTCCCTTTTTAAATTTTTAAATGGAATAAAGAATCAGATGAAATTAATTTTTTAAATAACCGACAAAATTTATCGTTATGATTTGGGATTGTAGTTTACGAGACCAGTAAAAAGGTGTAGAATACCAACGTGATCAAAGTCCAAGTCGTTCATGTCTTCTCAAAAACAAACCAATGAGATACGTATACGAAATAAAATTATTTTCAGCAAATAAATCTTAATTAAATATTAAGCATGTAATTAATTAATTCGAATTTCAATATTTTTCAAAGATTAAGAATTTAATACTGAACAAATAATTTGTTTGCAAATTCATACAAATAATTAAATTTACAATAAAGAAAAGAAGAAAGATCTTTCTAAAGATCCAAAGTCTTCACAAATGCATCAGCAAGAAACTCGTGAAGCCGCGTAGTCGGATGAAACTTATCCCAGAAAAAGTAAACTTGAGGATTCGGACACACAGTCGCAGTCAACTGCACAAAACAAGGATCAACGAAATTACTGAGACCTGTCAACGACTGCGGAACCTCTTGTAAAACGATGCTAAAAAGATCCACGGCAAAAGTCCACAGATTCACATCCGGGTATGTGTCGACGAAACTTTGCGCAGCTTTCTGAAGATAGAGGTTGTGCTTTACACTGATGTCATGCAGTTTTGGGAGAAGTTCTTTTGAGGTGTTTCTGTTATAGGGTAAAGATGAAAGTTCTCCGATGCCAGGAATTAAAAAGTTTCGATAATTTTTTTTGTAGAGTGTTGTCCATGCTTTTGAAAGGTGGTCGATTACTTTTTGTGGGTCGACTGTAAAGTTTGTATTCAAGTAGTCGTTACCAAGTGCCCATACCTATTATATCAGATATTAGATTTGGTATCCCTTTTAAATGAAGAGAGATAAGTGTGAGATTTTACCGAAACAAGGGTTTTTTTGAAATCTTGAGGTTTTGCATCAGCCGGCAAAGTAGCTACATAGGTATCTACTTGCTGTACGATACCTGGTACTTTAGTGGAAAAATTACTTCCAGTGAAGCCTAATATTAAAATGAGATATTATTAGCAGAAACAAACTAGAATTTATGAATATGAATCCATAATATTTTACCTTGAGTAAGATTATTACTAAGGTTGAATACAAAATAAAATGTTAATGATTATTACTATCAAATACTCAATTTTACATGAACCTCAAGCAGCAAACTCACTCTACAGTCGCACCACCATACGCGTAAACTTTTAATGTCAAGTCAAGTGTTGTCGCGAAATATTCTGGCCACACTGGACCATTTGAAAATCTTCCTTTATAGTACACCGGAAGTGGCCAGGTTTTGTTTGTCAGATTATACGAGTTGCCGGTATCTGATGGTTTGATTGATTGATTTAAAGTTAAATTTCTGGCGAAGAATTTAATACATCGGTATCGGTATGTGTAAATCAGCGATTTTACCAGAATAGGAATCACCAAACACAATCAATGTATCAAATTGACGCTCAACGTTTATCGTTATTGGAAATGCATTTATGATCGCGACAGTATAAACTGTCACAAATAAAGCCGTGATGAAAGAATCGCGGGTTTTATTTGCCAACATTATTGCTGTGTTTAAATCTAAGAATTTTCAGACTCGTTGAATGGAAGACCAAAAAGAACCCAATCAGTATTTAAGTCTTTTTCTGTGGCGGGCACGTATTTTTTGGTGGTTATTCTAACAATTCAAAGAATATCGATTCGGTGCTTTCTTTTAGCTTAATTTCCATTATTATTCTTCTATAGAATCATTATATATAAGATAACGAGAAAGCGGTTTCCTCAATGATAAAATTGTAATCGTAACCAAGCCTGCCTGAATAGCATACACATACGTAATCCGTAAAGATCGGCTCTTCAAATTTTCCCAACAAATTATCGTTATTAATTTGATACTCCATTTGCGGCTAGGCCATCAAGCCGCAGAAACCACCATATAGATTTATGGCTCAGCCATTATACGTAATTTCCAAATTTAGAAATTAATCATTATTAAGCATGATACGTATATTGGATTTTTCTTCGAGTAGCCTAAAAATACAGGTTTCTTGTGTATGAAGGAACAACCTGTTTCTGTGAAGCCTCGAAAATACCAACAAGACTGTTGCATAAACTTACAAACTACCAAGTCAATGAGCCGCGATCTTCTTCGTGCATACGTTATTTTCATCGTAAGTTCTTAGTTTACTAATAATTATCGTTCTTTTTACCCACTCAAGGAACATACAATGACTTATGAAAATTACATAACCACTAACGACATGACGTTGAATTCGGAACATTCATAATTGAAAAATCCGTCAGCTCAATTATTGGTGAATTACTAATCACTCGATCAATGAACATTTTATTTCACTTTTTATTGCTTATTTTCTAATCTCATTGGTTCAGCCAGATTTCATGATCCTCCCCAAATTACTTAAAGCAGTGTTGGCATTTTGCTGCGGCCAAAGGATTTTTTGCCCATTTGGTCGGCCAAATGCCAACACTGAATTAAAGTGCATACTATACGCGGTGTTGAACATTTTGGATGTCCGCGACTTTTTTGAGATGTCCGCGTCCGGTCCGCGGATGTCCATACTCTTGTGTTACATATAAATATATATCGAAAATTTGTAGATATATGCAAAAAATCAATTGTGAACAACTTTAATTAGTAGTTCAAGACAACTTGTCTTAATAAAATTCGACATCAAAGTTGGTTGCACAATGTCCGAAATCTGTCCATGTACAACACTAACTATACGTATACCTATTTTAGGGATACGCTAAAGCGTTGCAAGTCCGGTGATCTGTCCGAGAAACAAGCCAATAAGAATGCGTAAATTTTTGATCAACTCGAAAAAACAAATCCGAAGCACGAACGTAAAAAATGAAAATAATCTATACTCTAGCCCTCCACTCTAACCATAACCCTAACGCTAAAATCAATCTTTTAACAATATCTATGTTAGAGTCGGACCTCTGGTTGGGAATCAAAGTATACTATGGTCCAGAATAAAAAAGATCGACACACCAAATAAAAGTTAATATAATTATAAAATTTTCTAATATAAATTACTATAGCTTGCTAGAATCAAATTCAAAGATTTGTTTAATAATAAAATTTCAAAAAATTTCCATTAATAGCCAATTGGTGTATCAACTGGTCAATAACGATTGAGTTATTTTTAGACATGAATTATTGTGATCGACAAATAAATTAAGTTCTTGATTCGATTTCGAAACTATAAAAACCTATACTTTTTTCTCAGTCATAACTTTTTATTATCATTCTTTTACTAAACTCATCAATTAAAGTAACCAAAACTATAGAAATAGAATGATGGTTAGTTTTCAAACACACAAATTACTCCTTATTTTAATCATATGTCATTTGTCATTGGTGGCAGTAAACGGAAGTCCTCTGCGGAAACATAAAAACTTCGATAAATTAGTAGTTTTTGGTGACTCATATTCGGGTCAGTAAATTAGAAATTTACCATTTACTTTTATTAGAATTACATGCTTATCCATTTTCAAACATTTTCAATAATCATAAAACTAAAATCAGATAATGGAAATGTCTATAAATTAACCAACGGCACTTGGCCAGCATCCTATAACTATCCGGGGCGATTCTCGAATGGAATAGTCTGGCCCGAATATTTATCGAAATTGTTAAATATTCCGCTATTTGACTATGCGTATGGGTCTGCCACAGCGGAGTAAGTATTTTCCTTCTAAGATTAATTGGACTTGAAACCGGCCGGTATAATTTAATATCTGTGTAAAATTTAAATTGATTATTTTTTGCGTCTATTTAGTGAAACTCTTGTTCAAGGTATAGATCCTAAAACGATTCTTGCAAACTTATAGATATAGCAAAAAATTAAAACTTTTTTGACTATTAGGGTATACTGGAGCAAACATGGATATAAAAGTTCCAGGAGTAGTTCAACAGGTGCAAACCTTTGTGTCATCGAAAGATGCTAATGCAGATCTTAGCAATGCGATTGCTACGGTATTTTCATAAATATTTTGTATAGTAAGTGCTTCTTTATTCTGAAGATTTTTATAAATTCTTATTCCCTGACAACCATAATAAAGATATTGATTAGCGGCAACGATTACTTTTTTTCGAACTTGACTGTCGATCCCAAAGAAGTCGTATCAAGACTCGCCCAATCCTGGGAAACACTCTACCAAAATGGCATTCGAAATTTCTTAATTATATCGCTACCAAAACTTTCCAACTTGCCAGCAGCAAGGGATCCATCTGTAAATCAATCTCAATTCGCACTTATCCAATCGGTCGAAATCAAGCACAACAACGCACTCTGCGATGCAATTGAACAATTCACGAATGCTTACCAAGATGTAAAAGTTTATGAATTTGATATGGCTATGTTTTTCGATTGGTTCAAGCAAAAACGGGCCGCTTCATTAGATATCACTAATTTCACGAATGCCTGTGTCGATTTTAACGTTTCACCGCCGAAAATTTGTGCGAATCCAGAAACATATTTTTATTGGGATGCGGTGCATTTGACTACTAAAGTTCACGGTGCTTTGGCAGATAGTTTTCAATCCGAATTATTGGGATTCGGTGCATTTGACTACATGTACTAAAGTTTTTGATTCGAAATCAAATAGTTGATTTGTCAGAGTATAATCTAGAATTATTAATATATAGAGCAATGCTGTTTTTGACCTTCTAATAGAAAATCTTTAAAATAAAAAATACATATTTAAAATTACAATGTAAATGCAATGTTTTTATTACTTTTGAGAATATAATTGGTATGAATTTGAAAAATTCATCTGTGCTAATGCACTTTTCAATATTTGTTTCTATGATTCCCAATCATCAGCAATTCCAACAAAATCAATCTTCAAATACAGGCAAGGAGATTCGATAGAGATGTTATATTTTATCAACTCTTTGCATTTTCCGAGTTTATCAGCGGGAGACCTCGATTTAATCTAACCGGCAAACGTGCCACGCTAAGATCTTTATTAATCTTTAAGAACAAGAGTATAATCAAGCGAAAATAATTAAAGCTAACGCTAACGTCAAGTTTTGCATGAAAATCGTAAATTTTTCTACAAAGGGTCAGCGCTTCACGGTAGTTGTTAATATTCACGAAAATCGAGAATATGGTACAAGTCATCTATCGCTATACGTAAACTGTATGCATTAAGTTCTATCTTCTAAACTTGGATGTAACAATTTTAACATTATCGTTATGATAATTATTTTGTTCTTTGATTTTTCGATTTCAAACCTATAAAGACCATACTTTTTTCAGTCAGAACCTTTTTTACTAAAAATTATCAATTCAAATAAAAGAAAACAACAATAGGATTTCCAAACACATAAATTGCTCGTAATTTACCGTTTATATTTCAATACAATAATAATCAGATAATGGAAATGTCTAGAAATTAACCAACGGCGTTTGGTCACCATCCCATAACGATGAAGGACGATATAGTCTGGCCAGAATATTTATCGAATTGTTAATTATTCTGTTATTTGACAAAGCTCATTGGTCAGCCAACTTCGGAGTAAGTTATTTCTTTTTATTCTAAGATTAATAGGACTTAAAACCCCTATTTTTTACGTTTATTAGTGAAACTCTTGTTCAAGATATAAAATAATGGATCATAAATGATTATTGCAAACCTTCGTGTCTTCAAAAGACACTAATGCACTTGTTACGGTATTTTTCGTAAAATTTTCTCCTGATAAGTTGTTTCTTTATTCTCAAAGAATATTTTTATAAATTCTTGCTTCCCCTGACAACCACAGTAAAGATGTCGATTAACGGCAACGATTACTTTTTTCGAAATGAACCATCGATTCCAAAGAAGACGTATCAAGACTGTCCAAACCTGGGAAACATTCTACCGACATCCGAAATTTCTTAAGCAGAATTTTACGACTGGCCAGTATTCAAGAATCCCTCTGCAGAGCCATCCCAACTCGTACTTTTCCAATCTAGCATAACGACGCGCTCGGCAACGCAATCAGACAATTCAAACGTGCTCACCAAGATGTAAATTTGATTTACAAAAGTTTTTCGATTGGTTCCACTGATCTCACGAATGCCTGTGTCGATATTCGTGTTTCGCCACCGAAAGTTTGTATTTTTATCGGGACCCGTTGCATTTGACTACTAAGGTTCATGGTGCTTGGGCAGATGCTTTTATTGATTCGTAATAGGATATAAAATCATAATTCTTAAATATAAAGCAATGTCGTTTCTGATCTAACAGATGTTTTCAAATAAAAATGCACATACTTAAAATTACAATGCCAATGCAAAATTTACTGATGCTTTTATTAATTTTGCAAATATAAATTCACACCATTTGTTCGTAAAGACTGGCATTAAATTTGCAAAAATTGTTCTATGATTATGCACTTTTCAATATTAGCACTCGTTTTTCTTTTCTCAATATTTACTTCTATAAATTCCCAATCATCAGGAATTCCATCTGACATTGCCCAAAAAATGCTTATATCCGAAATAACGCAACAACAAACTCAACCTTCAAACACTAGCAAGGATATTTCTACGCAACCAACAAACACGATTTTAAATTCATCCTTTGAATCAAGTCGCATAAAGCAAATTCATATTGAAACAAATAATCCCCAATGCCAAACCGCACCAACTCTATCAATAAACAGTCACACTTCACCTGCTACCGCAAACTCTAATACTAAAAGCAGAAAAAATTACGATATTACGAATAACAGGTTTCCGACTATGGCTCCAAGTCCCAGTCCTGATTTTGTAGAAAGTTTCGGAAAATCAGCAATTTGGGGAACGGGAGACGGATTTACTTTGGGATTAATTTTTGGTGCTGTTATTGGAGCTGTATTAGGCTTATGTTTGATGCTCTGCGTGTAGTTTTCACCACTACCGCTACCGACACATCTCGTGTTAGCGAACTACATGTATATCAATACGATATCGATATTGTTTTATTCTTCGTAATCGGTAATTATAATATTTTTATATAATTAAAATTATCGAGATCTTAGATTACTCAAATCGAAAGACATAACATATCGACATTTGCTTGTTTTTTTTATCATTTCCGAGGAATGACGTCAAATATGTACATGTACGTACTATGAATTACGTACATTTTGACAGGTATTTATGCATGTACATGTAGCGGTATAAAGCAGTGACCTACGAAATGACTTTACAGTCAACTCTCTCTAAATGCACACCGCCGGGAGACATATGAAAATCAAATCTGAGTGCATTTATAGAGAGCATTTTACTTGGTAATATTATTAACTTGGGACCAAACCAGGTGTGCATTTATAGAATAGAAACATAGTGTGTGCATTTAGAGAAAGTGCATTTAGAAAGAGTTGACAGTATTTTAATTAAAATTTAGTGACCAGTGACAAAAAGTCATCAAATAACAAATGGCTTAATTTTGTCCATCACTGGTATAAAGATAGATAATCTCTCAATATCGATATGGCATCAAGATGTTATTTTCGTAGCAATAGATACAATGCTTCTCGACGACTGGAAAAGTTGTTTGTTAATTATATCTGCATCAATAATCGGATATGATAATAGAAATCTAAATCGATCATGCATTAACGTTAATAATACATATCGATACGTATAGAGAACACTGATCCAATGTGCCAAATTTCTTTTCATTTCTGTCGTGGATCCCTTTATCGTAAAATTTTTTCGAAATATAACGATAAATTATTTTTGATCATTTCCTTGAAAAACTATAGCAATGTCGTGGAAATCACGTCAAAATGGTGAAATTTATTTGTAAAATATCCATTGATTGAAAACGGAATCTAATTTGTGAAATAATTTTACTTTTAGTTGTCCAAACAATTCGCGCATCAACAAAAGCTTCATTGCGAATATTAAACAATAATAATCACAATACCAAAACTATAAAATTCGGCTCTTACCAACATCATCAACGAGAACAACGTAGTGTGATTTCGGGTTTAACAATATCTCAAAACACGACGACGACAAACTCAAAAGCAATATCGCGAATCTACAATGACCCACTATTACGACCTGCATTACCAACTTCCCCTTTTTCCATGCGAGGTGTCGCATCATTAGGAAAAACACAAGGTACAAATAATTCAATTTCGTATTTGCGAAATATATTTATGATCTTTATTAATACTCAATTCTTTTATTAGGAAATTTGGTAATTCTAGGTAAAGTGAATGAATTTATATAATAAATATTATTATATGCTGCTCTGTATTAGTTTATTTCTTAATGGCAAAAAAATGAATTTAAATTTATCATTATTTTTTTATCTTAATATTAATTACATGGAGCCAGGTTCCGGATGGGCAGGTATTTAACTCGTGTCTATGATTGATTTCTAAACCTTTAATAATTTATTCGAGATTCACGTTGTTATAGGGTTCAAATTATTTAAAGACCTGAGTACCGATAATTATAGTCTAATTGTGGTCTCACCAAGGTTCTTTTTTGGGGGTTGGCTAATTCGATTAATTAACCCTTATAATTCGTCAATTAAAATTCAACGATTTATTTTTTAGAAATTACTTTGTGTTCACGCCACTTTTGGCAAGTACTTCGGTCGGCACACTGGAATTTCGATGTATTACCGAGCCCGTGAGAAAATTCGTGCCAAAAGTTGACTTTTATCAAGCGTATGCAGACACAATAGGTAAAGCGAAAACATTCTGTGTATGTCATCTCCTTCTAACAATTTTCTCTATATATTGTCTCTTAAATATTATAAGATTTCGAAAAGCAAATAGTGCATTGTACCTCAAATCTCGAAAAAAAACGCGACAAGTTCTCACTTTCTTACGACACGCTTGTAATAGCCGTCGGCGCTAACTCGAATACATTCGGAATACCGGGAGTTGGTGAATACGCATTATTTTTGAAGGATGTTTCGGATGCGAGGAAGATACGACAGAGAGTGATCGAGTGTTTTGAGCATGCTAGTCAACCAGGAGTAACGGAGGAAACGAAATTAGGATTGTTACATTTCGTGGTTGTTGGCGGGGGTCCGACGGTATTTACTTACTATCAACTGTTGTATATTTTGAATCTTTCTACATGTTTAATTAAACATTCCGTTTATTATTTCTGCATGTATGCGTGATGACAAGTTTAGGGCATTGAATTTAGTGCTGAATTGTGAGTCTTTTCATCGCTTTGCCTTTACTTCATTCATGAAAGTAGAAAATTCTAATAATATCCTTTTATCCAAACAATGGATTAGACACGACTTTATTACGGAAGATTTGAGTCGCCTCTATCCAGCGCTAATGACAAAGGCAAATACATAGAAAACCTTGTTTTTTTTAACTATATAAAACATTATTAATGTTACTGAAATTTTATAGGTTCGTTTGAGTATATACGACATTGCACCTCAAATTCTCGGATCATTTGATATAGGGCTACGTGATTACGCAACCAAGAAATTTACCAGAAAGGGAATCCAAATTCGCACTAATAAGCGTGTCATGGAAATTAAGGCCAACCATTTGATTATTCGTGAAGAAGGAGAGGTTTGTAGTAAAGAGTTAATTATCGAAGGCTTCGAAAATTCAAGTTGATGATCTTTGTGCTTATTATGTAGGTGCCATATGGTATGATTGTTTGGGCAACTGGTAACTCATACATTTTATTTGATGCTTGTTCATTAAGACTCGAAATGTTAATTATGATATGTATTACCGTTATTACTGCAGGATTGACTGATAATCCACTGACCAGAAATATAGGCGATAGAATCATGAAAGATGATACGGCTAAACGGTAAAATAAGTACAAAAAAACCACGCAAATTTACGAATGACATTTTGATGTTTCTTCTTGTATAGGCTATTAACTGATGACAAACTACGAATTATTGAAAAGAATTCAGGAAAACCAATAACCAATGTGTAAATATTTTATGTAATTTTTATATAAAACGAGAACAACAAACTAATATTTTATATTTGAATTAGATACGCGATTGGAGATTGTGCGACTATTAAAGATAATGATCTCCCGCCTACAGCACAAGTCGCGAATCAGAAGGCACGGTATTTACGTAGAGGTGATAATTCAACGTTCACTAATATATTATTGGATTATATTCTTATAATAACAAAATTCGTTATTTCCTAATCTTGATAGTTCTGCAAGGTCTTGCGATCGACCCACAGTATGTGGTCAATCCTTTCAAATTTCACAATTTTGGTAAATGTCGTATTGTGGATCAGAATGTTTTTGCACAAATTTTTACGACGACTTGATTTATTTTAAAATCTGAATTTTATAGGTGTAATGGCGTATATCGGTAAAAAAGAAGGTAAATTCCTTTTTATCGATGCGAAACTTAACTCAGCTGAATACCAAACCTAACGACTTCTTTCCTCTATAAATAAACATTACAATAGCACTCGTCGACATGACAAAAGCCGTAAGCCCACAAGCAAAAGAATCCGGTATGCTCGCTTGGCTCTTATGGCGATCTGTATATCTCAGTTATACCGTCTCGATTCGTAACAGGTTGTTGATTCCGATGTATTGGTTCTTGACGCTTTTGTTTGGTCGGGATATTAGCCGGTTTTAGGGTTATAACTTCAGTCATAGCTCGTTAAATGAGATTCGAAAGTATATACGGCTGTTTTCTTTGGGAATTATGTCTTTTTCGATGATATGTTGAAGTTCGACACACATTTAGTCTTTATTTTATTACTTTGTTGACAATTCTTTTGAAATTATCATATAATATTGTTTTCTAGTATTTCATTAATTATGAATAGAAGACTGCATTTTCTATTCCAAATATCCAATACATTTAAAGACGCGAAGCCAAAGATATCAGTGATTATTGGGTTTAAAAGAAGCATAGCTGTAAATAGAGTAACTGTTATAATACAATTATACTTCTTTTAATGCATACTCTTGGAACTGGTACGATAAATTCACTTAAAGAGTATGGTTTTAGAGAGGTTAGACTATATATATTTGGACTATTTTACTGACTTCATTCCATATTGTAATTTTATATTGGATAAAGAATGACAGGATATGATAATAGTAATATTATAGTTGCGAAAGCTCACGTGGATTTAGAGGTACATGTAGTTAAGTTCGTTATACATGTCCAGTACCCCCAAAAGTAATGCCCGGTCCAAAAGTACATAACATAAAAAATGGAAATTTTCAAGCTTTGTATATATCTAAATTTTTTACAATAAATTTTTCTCATTTTATAAGGTAAAAGGGTATGGCGAAAATCTGACATATAATGACTTTCAGTGCGATACCTCGATGACTAGCGATCGGGATCGCATGGAAATACTACCATTCGATTCGTCTAGGCATGACGAATCGAATGATAGTATTTTCATGCGATTCAGACCACTAGTTATCGAGGTATCGTTACTTCGCCACAATACCCCCAATTTAAAGGGCGATATCTCGATACCCTGCGATCGCTGGATATCGAGATATTGCATATTTTCTTTACTTCGCCAAAATACCCCCACCCTCCCAAAATTAGCAGCACACAAAATGATCATTTTTATTACTTGTCACGTCATTGTAATTTTTGCTAGACTTATACAGAATCGAGTTGGCTTTTTGCCATAATAAATATACTATTATTTGTTCTCTTTTACCTTATATGAAAAATTTTTCCCACACTTTAAATATGAAAATTAAAAGTTTCAAGTTATATATATAGAATAAATGTATTTGTAACAACTGTTATTCGTAACAAGCATATTTTAATTGGCTAATTAGAACCTGAGTTAGGGTTAAAATTAAAATTATGGATATGTGATTGGTTAATATGGAAGTTGTTATATATCTATTTCTATGATGCATAACATCTAAAGTCATCAAACATTTGTATTTTATAAAGTGTATAAACTTCTTTACGTGATTATGCTCAGAAAGGGCCTATTCTATCATATTCACGGATTAAAATTTGTATTTATTTCTTAGTAAAGAAGTTTATACATTCTAAAAAATACAAACGTTTGATGACTTTAGATGTTATGCACCATATTCGATTATACAGTCTCTTCAACAAATATTAATCGAGTATATTTTTCTTGTCATAAATCAAATTTCATTTTTTTATTATTTTCGCGTTTGTTCCACTTTTATGTGATTCAATGTGCTTATACAGACTTGTGAAGTTAAATTTCATTTATTTGAATGTCTTAATTTATCCGGTAACAAAAAATTAAATCAAATCAAAATAATTAGTAAATTTAATCTATATTGTTTATACGTACAAATTTCATTCGAATTTATTGAAGTTTCAATAAAAATCATATATAATTATAGCAAGAGTGATATCAACAAAATCAAGTACAAATGGATACTTTGTTGGAGGTAAGGATAGGAATTGATTCTCTATAATAATTTAGAATCGAGGAAATCGATTACGTACGTAATGTACATGCAAATTGCTGGCTGTGTAATGGACGCATCAACACAAACACAATTTTTCTAGAATCAAAAACAATCACAAAGCAAGAAGCTAACGCGCATTTTTTTTTTACCAAAAGGGCGCTAATTTTTCTCAAAGCAAGGCTTATGATGTTATTATCAAGGCTTTGATTCGATTGGCGACTTAGAGTGGCATTGTAAGCAAGAAACAAACACACCGATCACATAGAAAATGTGATTCTTATGATATTTGTAGAGATTCTGAAACCTATATAAAGAGATTGAGCAGCGTGCATTTTTTATCATTCCTTCAAAGAATTAACCAAAAGCATTAAAACTCTTAATCAATTTAATCAAATAACATGTCTTCAAAATCACCTCTTTCGCTCTTGTACGCTGCAATTCTCGTTCTACTAATCTCGGTTTCTTATATTCACTCTCTTCCACAAGAAGTGAATAATTCACAATATAAACGAGGTCTCTTTAGCATTTATCCAAAAGAACATAAACGAGCTGAGGGTACAAATACAGGAGATTGGGGTTGGATTCAAGGACATACTAAACGAGGCGCCCAAGTCGTCGGCTACGCAGATCTCCTTGGCGGACGTGTAACACTCAGTCAAGAAAGCTCTGGTGTAACAGTAATCTATGGTCAATTCAACACTGGATTCGGCGACAGCTCAAATCCCGCTGATTATACGTTTGTTTTCGAACCATCCGGCGTTGTAATTAAACCCTCGTACTCGATCTTAAATGGCGGCACTTCCGCTTGGACTTTGAATCGCAGCGATGTGAGATTGTCGCCTGGTTCTGGCAAAAATATCTCTAAAGATAAGTTGGTTGTGAAAAGGGGTACTACTGTCATCGGCTCGGGTCCTGTTACTATCATATAAATTTAATTTGTGTAATTTAATAATTTTGTAAATACATACATCTTTTAATAAAAATCAAGTATTGAATTGAATTGAGTTGCATTTTTATTCATGTATGCTCCATCTAAAGTTAAATTTGTTATCGTTAGGATGTTGCAGTTGACCTCAACGACAAAACATTTTCAGTCCATTCTAGGACTCTACAAACATGATTGTATGTTGTGCATATTTCATGTTGAAATGTTAAGTGGTTATAGTTTTCAAACAAGAGTTTATATCGATTTGTTTTGTTTTTACATCAGGAGATGCACTATTTGTGCTTGATCGGGTTTTTTTTGTTGTCAGAAAACTATACTCCAAGTAGGCGGCTAAAATTATAAATACGTAAAAGTAAAAATTATTAGCTTACCTGTGATTGATCAAAATACAATTATCCAATTGATAAGTTCCCCTTTTTAAATAAATATATGAATACAGTAACGAGCGAATACTCTTATTTACGTGGTGATTTGGAAATACATTTTCATGAACAAGGCATGTAATTGTGTGTGATTCTTTGAATTAGAAAATGAGAGCGGCGTTGTCATGGGACAATTGGGATGGGACGTGACAATCTCGAAAATGCTTGGAACATAGAAATGTACAACACTGCATGAGCCTCATATTCTGATATTCATTCCATATCGATATGGATGAAGAAAGAACAATGGTAGCTTTTTTAAAAATGAATTGTTTAGGCTTCATAACGGATATTTTGAAACCGGATCATTTATTACAGTTAATTTACTCGTGTAAAATTCAACTCAATACCAAAATCTTCTGTGACTTGTTAAAGGGATTGTTATTTGGGTGATTGAATTATCGGAAATATTGCATTTATTACTACGTATCGTTATCGTTTTTGGTTTTGGTTTTAAGATGATAGACAATTTAAATTTAACTTGACATTTCTGTATATATTATATTATATTTACTTTATAATAAAATTGTGAAAGATGAAACAAATAACGAAACTTGGATATTCGCACTTTGCTACAATGATTAAAGTGTTTATTTTAATATAATGTTATAAGCTCAGAAACAAACAGTTCCAAGTTCAATATACAAGTTTCCCTTTGTGATTTCAGCGCACAGATAACATTTAACCCTATAAGAAATAATAGGATGTAAATGTATGTTAAAGCACGAAAAAAGCACGTAAATTTATTGAAAGCACGTAAAA